TAAGTAAAATACTGCACAACAAGGACATATATGAATACTTATTTTACGTAACTAAGTACAAACGACAAACTCATCGCTAGCAAGCGATTTCTTCCAGGCAACCTAGCATTACATGGAAAAAAGAACAATAAATAGCCGATTGTGCATACAACTAGACAAATAATAATAATTTAAAAAGACCAAAAACAAAAGAAGGACAGTTTCAAGGTATGAATAAAATTCTCAGACACAAACGAGAACTAGAGCGCGAGAACAAGAAAAAAGATAAAAAATTACATTCGTAAGGACAGGATGGGTGACCAAAACATTATTATCCTGAGCACTGTGCACAGCACTGGCACAATGTACGTTAAGCCGTTAGTCCTGGCTGCATCAGCAACGTTAACACTCACCGATCCGCATTAAGCCCGCATTGTGGGTTATGGCCCATTGATCTTATTCGATTCGACTCCATCCATAGGAATAAAAAAAATCTACCAAAATACTTCCCACGCAGACGAAGTTGCGGGTACAGCTAGTAGTGTTATAAATCGTGTTGTTCATACATAAGTTATTTTTAAAAAAGCCATTCCTGACCGCCCCCGTAACAGTAACGTGTGCTTCAAACCCCCTTAATTTAGTTGTAAATGACGCCACTAAAAGCTCATTGGAAATTTCAAATTTTTCTATATTGTCCAAGTAATCTATGCATTTTTTTCAGCATCCATATCATCCTGGAATGAAATCATGAAACAGATACCTACTTTGACATTAAAACCTCTTTCAAATACGCGTTGGGAAGTAGATTTAATGCTCTTAGAGCATTACGTTTTAATATGGATAAAATTTGCGATGCATTATACTCTATTTTTACAAATAACAAGTATGATAGCGACACAAAAAACATAGCGAGTTCGTTAATAGCCAAATTAAAATCTTATAGATTCATATGTTCAATAGTTATATGGTACAACATGTTACAAAATGATTAATCTGGTTAAAAATGATTTGGAGCAATACCGCACTGATAGCGCGTTTAAACAATAAATATAAATAAATAAATATTAAACAACATCACATACATTGCTCAGATTCCAAGATGAGTAGCTAAAGCCCCCGTATTATGGAGTATCTGAGACAACGAAGGTACCACAACACCCAGACCCGAGTCAATATAGAAAAGTTCATTTTCTATATATACCCGACCGGGAATCGAACCCGGGACCTCAGAGATGGCGACACCTTGAAACCGGCGTGCGAACCACTCTGATGCAAAAATAATGCTCGTCCACGTCCCCCAAAAAGACATTTTGATTACGAGGCTGCAGATGAGCCCATTTTAGACCCAACCAATAAATTTAAAGTATGTTTTTATTTTTTTCTACTGGACACTGCTATCTTGAAATTAAATGAGAGATTCGATTTGCTAACGGAACATAATTTAGTTTTTTCGCTCTACAAAAACGTTCAATGGTGGAGTAAATTAGAGATGCATGAAAAAAAATCTCTATGTTCTCAGCTCTAAGGAAAACTAACATTTAAAATAGATTTGATATTGACAGGGAGGATTTATATAATAAATTAAAATTGTTGCCAATAATTTAACCCAATGCATCATTAAGTACTCCCACTGATAGTTTAAGCTATATATATTCTAATAATTTGATCTTCTCATTTTCTAATATCTCATTTTCATAAGGTGAACGATCATTTTAAAAATTAAAATTAATAAAAGATGTTCTTTCTTTTCTTTCTTCTTGCATCATGTTCTTTTCCATGTTAAAATAAAAGTATAAATTTTAGAAGATTCATCAAAAAATCTTCACTTTTTAAAAGAAGTAGGTACATTTTCTAGTAGGTATTTATTACTGAAAATGGACATTATGTCTCGAATAAAGAATAGTTTTGTTTTTTATTTGTATAATTGGGTTTAATTTGTATAATTTAAGTTTAATTTTACTTTTGTATTTTAGAGAGATAAATAAATAAATTATCGAAATTTCGTGTATTGTGTTTTATGGTTGATTAGGACCCCTTTCATACTACGGTGTGTCGTCGGTCGCGTGCAGCGTGTAAAAGAAAACAAGGGCGCAGGATGAGTCCCGCACCCTGGTGCCGAAAAGACTTAAGACGGCACTGTACTTGCCTATAAGTTTATCAGTCTTAGATAAAAATGCATGGTCACGAAGTTTATATTTTCATAATAGATGAGCCAAGTGATGTAGTATATATACACACTTTTCGTTTGACATAAATATTAATTTCCGCAAGGGCCGGAAAGGTCTTTACTTGAGCAACAAAACAAGGCAAAGTGCGAGCTTTCATGGAACACAGACGCGGAAGAAGCCTATAAGTAAGTTGGTGACTGTTTTTTGACTACACAAATAATATAAGAAACAAATTTCAATGTTACTGATCTACTTTAAAATATATGTAATAATTCTAAGAATCTGAGGTATGCTAAAATACGGGTTATTAACGCAGATCAGCAGCGGATGCTAACTAAATAGGTACAGTATATAAGCTTAGATGTAACGAAAATAATATATATTTTGTTTCGTTATGGTCTAATCAATATAATTAATCATTAAATAAATTACTAAAAAAAAAGAAAGTCTGTCTTCGTTCGTGATTTGCGAGTTTACGAATATTTATGTTTTTGAAGACTATACAATGTTATAAACTTTTAAAAATGCACGTTTATTTTATAACTTGTTATGACTGCGATTTCGTCCGCGTGGAATAGTGATTTTTAGGGTTCCGTACCCACAGGTTAAAACGACATCCCTATTTTTTCACAGATGATGTATTTCTGTTGCCCATTCAACAACAATATAATAAAATAAACATTTAAGGGCTCTCCCATACAACAAACGTGATTTTTTCCTTTACCAGGCTGTAGCTCGTGAACTGCGATAGTTAGACAATTGAGATTTTCACAGTTGATGTAGTTCTGTTGCCGCTATAACAACAAAAAAATCAGAATAAAAAAAATATTTAACGGGGCTCCCATACAGCCACGCTTCGGCATAAATGGGCCGGCTCGACCGGAGTGATACCACGGCCTCACAGAAAACCGACGTGAAGCAACGCTTGCGTTGTGTTTCGTCGTCTGAGTAAGGGTACCGGAGGCCAACCCCTCCCTATTCCCTTCCCTCTACCCCTCAACCCTTCCCTCCCTATGATCATTTTCGTCCCTCAAAGGCCGGCAGCGCGCTTGTAGCCCCTCTGGTGTTGTAGGTGTCCATGGGCGACGGTAATCACTTACCATCAGGTGATCCGTCTGCTCGTCTGCCGCCTATCCCATAAAAAAAACGTGATTTTTTGTTCATACATAACCCTTCGTGCACGAGATGATTCACACTTGGTTTATTAATAATAAAAAAAGCTATTTACAGTATTTCACTTTATTTAAGCACAAAAACTAAATTAATGTTAAACTGTTTTAGTAGACCCAAAAAATCAAAACCTCTGTAGTTTTTACAAGTATTTGACCTATGGGAAAAAAACAATTATATTTTAAACATAACGTAAAGTTTATGGAAACATAGGTACTCTAACCAACTAATAAATTAAACAATAGAAGTATCACATATTCTACTGAAAAACAGTAATAACTTATTATATTTGTACGTACTTAGTTATTAATCATTATATTATGCAATTCAATTAAAGTGTTCCAAATAATATAATTTATTTAAAAACTCATTTACTGAATAAAAACATTTATCAGCTAACCATGTTTACAAATGTGATTTACCTATATATTTTTTGTGGCAACAATTTTAGTTTACCTGTATGTTATTATTAAATATTTTTATTTACATCACATACGAGTTTCTCTTATAATAGTCGGTTCTAATAAATAAAAATGTAAATTGTTAGGAAATCATCGTTTTTGTTTAGAAACCCAAGTCAAAGAAACAAACATTACAGTTTTAAAAACACAGTAGCGTCATCTAGCGAAAGCAGCTAATTGTAGCATTTCATTATTTCGCCAGATTGACAATTCTACATTAAATTATATTATTGGAAATATCGCAAAATTAAAAACGTAAGTTACTTTGATTGATAAAAATGGTATGAAAATAAAGACTACACACATAACAAAAATCAAAATCCCGTTTTATAAGTACAGTAGAGACATCTAGTGCTCAATAGGGATAGCTTAATGTAACATTTTATTTTTTGCGCTATTAATAATTCCCTATTAATTTGGGTTAAAGCTTAGTTTGATAAAAATCGGAAAAAATAAAAAACTTCGCCGTTCCGATCCGGAAAAAACGGACAAGTGCACAAGGGTGCTTCATGTCATTCTGCACCGGAAAAAATCGGACTGCAGGACCTGAAAATTCAGTGTAGTGCACAAACGTCCTCTTTGTTTCGAATTTCCATAACACTTGGTTAATATATGTGAGCGTTTTCTTTTAAATTAATAAAATACTCAAAATTGCCATATTACCGAGATTCGCTAGCATCCGTATAATGGATAATGTATAAACTAGCTTTCCGTCAGCGGCTTCGCCCGCGTGGTCGCTATAGAACTGTATAGTGGAATAAATAGAAGTCTTTAAGTTAATTCAGGCATAGAATTATCAAAATAGGTTCAGTAGTTTTTACGTGAAGAAGTAACAAACATCCTACAAAATTACCAATTTTCGACATAATATTAGCAAATAGATGCTTTAACTTAACTTTAAGGGTAATAATAAGGTATAGTAAAAAACAATTATAGATAAAAACAGCCTTTGTTTTAAGGTATATATTATGCGCTACTATAAAATTATCCACAAACCTAAATATTAAAGAAAATCATTAGAGAAAACAAAAATATAGAAATAATCGAATGTATTTCATCTTGTAAGTAATAGACAAAAACAATCATTTAAAAAATAACATAACCACAACTATTGTTATTAAAATAATAAAAACACTGTAACTCTTAAAAAAACATTAACAATATCATGGTTATCCTTAATTATTGCATAAAAAAACAATAGTTATATTGCAAACAACGTAAATTAATTAAATTTAAAGTCTTCTAGTCTTGTTGCAGCTGATAAGCATAGTTGTTCTGTGGTATATGGACCATCTGTTAACAAAATTCATGTTACATATGAATAAAACATCTACTAAAATATTTACCTGGTGAGGCCTACCTTGAATGTTTCAAAATAACAATTCTTAGTAAATGTTGGGATGCGCATTTAGACGACCAAGTATCTTGACTAAGATTAGGAAAGTTATTTAAAATTCCTTTAAGAGACATAAAAATAATATAAAAAAAACATTTAATTATAGAAATTTCAGTTCAGTAGTTTTTGCGTATCAAACATACATATTATATAAACATTTATTATTAATAGGGTTATTAATTCATTATTATTCCAGCTTTAATTGAACACAGTTATTTTCGTGGGACAAACTTCTGTATCTACAATAAAATAAATAACAGTAGTGCAGTAGTTAAGCAACTCTCGCTAAGCCTGGTCATAGGATGGGTGGCCAAAAATTTATTATTTTCATTAAATAAATTTATTATTATAAATTTATTATTATAAATTTATTATAAATTTATTATTTTATTATAAAATTATTATTTATTATATTTCTTATAAATTTATTATTTATTATTATTTATTATTATTATTTATTATAAATTTATTATTTATTATTTTCGTGGGACAAACTTCTGTATCTACAATTAAATAAATAACAGTAGTGCAGTAGTTAAGCAACTCTCGCTAAGCCTGGTCATAGGATGGGTGGCCAAAAATTTATTATCTCGATTTCCTTCGTGCGTAAGAAAGCACGTTAAGCCGTTAGTCCCGGGTGCATCCGCAGTAGTTAACTTCTACCAATACAAACTAGGCGCGCATAATGGGTCATTCATCCTTACTATTTGATTCGAGGCCTGAGCCCCACTAGTGAGGACATTAATGAGCTGGTGATGATGATGATAATATGAAAAAGAACCTGACCAATATTGAACCACTCAGTCGTTGGTATTCCAACCTCTTCTCTTGCTGAAGACACAGCTTCTCTCATAGCGAATGGTACGCTTATCGACAAACATATCGCAGGTTCTCCGGTTACTATAAAAAACAATATGAAAATGATAATAAATACAAAACTATTTTTTTTTTAACAAATATTTTTTTATCATATTGGGACTTCCTACGGAAGGTTAATAATTATCATCTTGGACCAAAAACACCGACAAAGCAAACGAACTCAAAGTTGACAAGGTTGTGTTACTTAAATCTAGGGCCTTCTTCTAGGGCCACCTTTCAGGTCCATCATCACACTCAACAACTGCATGTAGGTTGCAGACTATACACAGGTTAATTGCAGGCACTTACTTGTTATGGATATTGATAAATATCATATTTTTAGAATCATTATTGTCTATGTTTATATTTAACAGATTCCATCGCATTATAATACAACCTGCCCTGCGCTGTCTTCCATAAATAATGTAACTTGTCTTCGATAAATAATCTTTTTTATGTCATCTTTATTTTGTATACCTTTAGCTCCGAGAACAATATCTGAACTGTAAGACTTTTCTCTGAAGTATACACGAAAATCTTGCGGTATATCCCTGGCCTGAGGCACGTGATAATTCCACGTTCTGTCCGTGAGAAGTTCTCCTGAACTTTTATCGTAGACCAAGTTTTCGGAAGTCCAGTAACCCAATCCCATTATAAATGCGCCTTCTATCTGCAATATAAAAACATAGCATTTTCATTATTAATCACTTTAGTAATTGCATTAAAGAGAAAACACTCAATTTCAGTGATTGTTTAAACCGATTTAAATTTCAAGTTTTTACTAGATTCATTTATATATATTTCGATCAATAAATTATTGAATAACTTAAAATATACTAACTTGACCGACGTCTACCTCTGGACTTACGCTACGTCCAACATCCTCTAATAAGTCTACTCTCAAAACTTCAGACTCTCCTGTCAATATATCAACTTCAACTTCAGCCAAGCTGACTCCATAAACATAAAATATCGGAGATATAATATTATTCACGAAATCGTCAACATGCAAATTAACTTTTAACTTGTGTGCTATTTTTATCAAAGTTTCCCATGGTGGATTAAGTAGCAAAAGCTTTATTGGAGCTAATCTTAGAAGAAGTTGCTTACAACACTTTTCGACTCCCATTCCTATACTCTGTGAAGTAAGGCTTGAACTCGTCATAATTCCATTCGTACCTGCGATTGAGTTAGCACATTTAACTTGAATCTTGTCTATAGGTATTTTCAAAAAGTACGCCGCGATTTGTATAGCTTTTGTATTAATGCCTTGACCAAGTTCAATTCCACTGTGGGTAATAATAACAGATCCATCACCGTGACATACACTCATTTTTACTTGATAGCCCGCGGGTGCGAGAGGGGTGTATCTCATGAATGCCCATCGAAGGCCTCGCTTTATCCATCTATTTGTTTGATTATATTTATTCACAGCAGCTCTTCTTTCAGAATACTTTGCTTTCGTTTTTAAAGTTTCTGCTAATTCTAATATATCATTATGTAATAAATTATTAACATTAGTCTTGCGCACTTCATAAGGATCTAATGACGTCACATATGAAATCTGTTCCATGATAGTTTCTGCCATAGATATATTTTCTAATGACGCTGTAAAAATATGTAATATCAAGAATCAAAAATAAATCACGCATTGTAATATTATGTCAAAAGTTATCCGTTCAGCCAGTTAGTATCAAATTTACTGACTGAATCAACAACCTCTAAATAATAGACATAAGAAAAATTGTTCAAAGACTAGATCAATCTGTCTATTTTTCATAGAGTTTCTAAATTTTCATTAAAGATTTAAATTCTTACCTGGTGCTCTGCACCACGTATTTTTAGCGTTGTCAGTAACAGAATTGTAACATTTATAGTCCCACCACAGCCTTTTGTAACAATTGCTATGCGCATCAATTCCAAGCACAGAAATTAATTCGTTAGTGGTATAACCATTATCTTCATAGAGATCATAATTTAAGTATTGTACAAGCCCTCTTTTATCAACTCCAACCTTAGAAAACAATTTTGTATGAGAAATTAAAGTCCACACTTTTTCGTTATCAATAAGACTGGCCTGAACAATACTTACTACAATAAAATATATAGTTTATTCGTCTTATTAACAAACAAGATTTAACGTAGATTAATTAGCTAAATTTACGCTAAGATTTCACTCAATATTAATAAAAAATCATATAACAAACAGAAACTAAGCAAAGTTTTAGCTTATACGGTGTCAATATGAGGGTAATATTTAAAGAAGTTTTGCTCAGTTTCTGATTAATAAATTGAATTTTAGCATCAATTTTTACAAGATAATAAAATATATAACCTCAACATCAGTAGAACAAGGCAATCGTTTTCCCAAAGACCTGGTTGTACTAGGCATAGTTTGAATGAGACGACAGGGCCTATTTAGTTTATAGGCAGCAAGACTACAGGCAACTGCAGCTAAAGAACTACGACTAACTTTTAAGCCAAAACCACCTCCAAGACGATTCACATACACATCCACTCTGAAAGCATAAATCATGGTGTTAAGGCTTGATTTTTTTTGAATGTCTGAAGTTTATTTATTCACTTATCATAAAATAAATAAACACTTATGATACAATTTAGTTGGTCAGAGTGGAAAGGCAGAAATAATATTCATGCTAATAAAAAAAAAATAAGAAAAATGTAAATGTCATAACATCTATTTCGGTAACTAATGCAGTTGAATTTTTTATTACAATAGAATATTTAAACGATTACAATTTTTGAAACATAATGATAATTATAGATACACACAACATTCAATACTTTATATTATGCATACAAATTCCAAGCACTAAATTTAAAACAATAATAAAAAAAAATATTAATATTGTTCATGATGCAAATGTCAATATATTCTTCGAAACTTTATCAATGAATCGGCATAAATATACCGTGGTACATACTATTCGTTATAAGTAGTTTTGGCATATTCCAAAGGTTGGAGAATTTGAGCCTATGTTAGTTTCCCAAGAAGGTGCGTAGAAAATCTTTGCAATATATTTGTAATTATGTATATTTGTAACTTACCGATTATGGTCTATATTTAAAGCTTTAGCTATTGTATTCTGTACAAAATCCATCCATTGTGTACTTGAATATACAGTTAGTCCTTGCTCCGATGGTGTAGACACACACATAATAGTTTCCATTGACAAATGATATTGCCCATAAATTGTATAATTATTTTTGAAACGTTTATCTACAAATAAACCTCTGCCTATAGCTGGAATAGGTAAGAAGAGTTTCGTTCTCGTTGGATCATCTTTTGCTTTTTTTATATCAAGAACTGGTGTACTAATGTTACTGTATGTCACTTTAACTAATTTAGCAGCTCTATTAGCTACAGCTTCTGATTCCGCTACAATCATACCTAGCGGTTGATTATAATAATTTACTTTTTTACTGCAAAATACTTCTTCGTCTTCTATGAATACAATAAGACCCAACATAATAAAAGAATTCTTCCCTGGTATATCTTTAGCCGAATAAAAAGCTACCACACCGGGTTGTTTCTGTAACAAATACGTTGAAGATTGAGTTTACTTTTCGTTAGTATACTAAACAAAATGTTACTAAACTATTTTTTTTTTAACTAAAATACTTTTAATTGATCTGAATAATAAGATTCACTTCAATGAAAAGTTTATAAAAGACGTGTTGTCTTTCTTTTTGTAATACAAAATCTATATTCATGTAACTGTTATATTATAAGAAAAAGTCCAACTCACACATTAACAATGTTATTAATAAACAAGGTTTAGCATTGGAGTGAAGTTACGCTGAGACTGCACTTAATATTATTCAAAATTCATATTATTAAACGGAGCCCTAGCACAGTACGAGTACGAGGCTCTACGGGAGTAGTACTTACTCCTAGAAGGTAGTGGGTTCGCTTATTATCTGCATAATAGGAATTTGGACTAATACTTAAACTGCAATTTTATCGTAAATTACTCCGACGCTAAACCTTGTTTATTAATAGCGCTGTAAATGTATATCTACTGATAAAAGTAAGGTAGGTAGTAGAAAAAATCCTAAAAACTCTTCTAGGCATTGCCATCTGAACTAAAACTTTATGCTAAATTTCATCTTAACCTATTAAAAACCTGCAAGATTTGACAACCATAAATACATTAAAAGCTACAAGTGAGACGCTTATAAATTTATATTTCAAAACACCCTCAACTACAACCATTCTAATAAACAAAATAAATAATACCAAAGCCTCGCTAGCATCAATTGAGTCTATATTCCCTCGAGCTACAGTGGTTAAAACCAAAGCTGAAAATAATTCATTTGGGAAAGATGGCACGTCATCTGTAAAAATTGCTTCGCCAGCGCATTGAATCTGAAAAAAAGTGCAGGAAATTAAATTTCACAACTTAGTTTAATTACAAAAACAAACGTTTCATGTGTAAAAAGTTGTAATTGACTAACTAAGCTACGAGAAAAGAAGCAATTTCGCTATGCGATGATGGTGATTGTATAATGGTTCAAGAAAATCAATAACCTTTAAATGGTTTATTGCAAAAAATAAAATCTTAATATTTTTTCTATGAAAAAATAATAAATAACATATGAGTAAATTTGAGTCCAATTAGCTGTGTTCGTTCACCCAAACAAACTTAGCTCTGAAGCGCAAAACCTTTTGGAGTCTTCACAGACCTGACTCACCAGTGACCAGGAAGGTACTCAAAAAATATTTTAGCCTTATTTGACGTTCATACTATCAAATCCGATGATATCATAATCTTTTGCTTGTACAATCTTAGCCGATTAGGACGAATCCCGTCTAAATAATTGATGCAAATCATTACCAATGCTTCCACTTTTGGTATAGGCTGGTTGAGTGGATATATGTCGGGGTTTGTGCTAAATTCTTGACTCCCTTGTGAAACTGGCCTCGATTCGTGTAGACGTTTAACTCCAGAACGGTAGCGTTCATTAAGTTTTTCCTCTGGGCACAGAGTTATTAGACCCTAATAAAGAAAAACTGTATTGAGCCTTCATAATCAGCTATAACCTATATTAAAACTGTTCTCGTTGTTTGATTATTTTTATCGATAGAATCACCTACAATTAGTTTTAATCAACTAATCGGATCTCATCTGATTTGATGGATGTGTGTGCTTCAAAGCACTGCTGAGGCATATTTTAAAAAGAGTTGCATTTGGCCCAGTAACAAGTTAAATAAAACGAAATATTTAAAAGTAAATTCATGAGCATTACTTTAAAACAAAGAACTCAAATAATTGGCACTTAAATAAAGATTTACTATGATACAAAATCATACTCACCCCGATATGAAAATGGAAAGGGAAGATTAGTGGTCATTGCCAACTAGATGCAGATAATTCAAGACTTGTGTACCATTTTTCATTTGATTAACGTTTTTCACAAGAATAAATACAAGGACATGCCTGAGATTACGTATATTATATTATCGAACGCCATGCCATATCTTCCCTTTCTGATTTCATAGCGTTCGTATTTATATAAACACTTACTTTATAAAACAACCCCAAAGCCAGCCGTTTTCGATACTCAGCGGAAGGTTCTGGAGGATTTTCTTCTACAATTATTTCCTTATCTAAAGTCTTTATGGCACTTTGTAAGGTATTATTTTCAAATAAATTCTTATTTATTAAAACTTGTTCGGTTTGTAATGCTCGTATAAATTGGGGAGATAGACCACCAAATACAATTCGGGATTCCAGAACTATATTGTTGTTGTTCAATTTGTATAGAAAACCAGCATTCACTATGGCATGAGCATTTTGACTGCGTGGCATTTGCTGAAAATTATAATAAGAATAAAGTAATAAAAATATTTTTTATTAAAGAACTTAATTCTTTCGAATGGATGGTCCATTACCTTATATGTTATTAGTTTATATTCATTGCTTAGCGGAGGTAGGAGTACATTTAGGATGACTTTTCCAGTCATATTTGTATCAAGGAAATCGCTTATAGACACCCGTGTCTTCGATCCCTGCGCGTCCACTAAAAAAAGCTTTAAATTCAACACACTACACCAATATAGTTTTATTAAACACAAGAGTGTTTAATAACATTAATACAAAATGTCAATCCTTCGAAAATGATTTTGAAGTCTACTGTCAATGTAGAAAGAGATTTGGGTATGGTTTTGTTTAAACAAGCTGATGACGATATTCAATATTTTTAACTTACTTATAGTCAGATAGGCATCAACTGTTTCAAGTAACAAAAAAATATCGGAGGAAAATTTTTTGTGCTTGTTTTTTGTTATCAGATTTCCTGCTATCGTGCCTAACTGGAAAACAAAATAAGTGCGACATATTAGAAAATTTTCAAAACTTAAGAAGATTTTGGAAGGTATAAATTGCAATATATTTTTCTGCCACGAACTTATAACATAGAAATTGTTTGTATATCGTACAATTACTTATATTGTATTTCAACAATAAAGTAATCATACAATAGTTTTTGTTATTATATGGCGATCATAACTTTGGTTTTTTATCATATTACTTTTACTTTGGAACAAGGGTACTTAGTTTTACTGGCATATAAAAACTTACATTTCTAACAGGTATATGAGCCACCAACTGAATATGATCATGTAATTTTCGTAGATATCCAAAATTGACTTCTTCTTTTGAAACTTTATCGAATATATCTAAAGCGTCGGATAAGGTCGTATTAGCTCCTATTATCAAATTTTGATCAATTTCATGTCCCTTTAATGCAGAAACTCCACTTATATCGATTAAAATACGAGGATATTCATCAATTGGATAAGCGCCTGAGGAATAAAATAGGTGTAGAAGTCATTAGTAGAATTGACATCGTCATAAAATTGATTAGTGATCTAATTCGTTGATGCCGCAGAAATTAGCGCGTTCTGATCTGTGACGGGAAATTAAACTACTTCATAAGAACCGGTCACAAGATGGGTAGCCAAAAATGTATTAACTTGAGCACGTCAAGCCATTCATCCTGGCTACATCCCAGTCGTTAACTCCCTGTAATCCACACTGAATACGCGTGGTTTTTTTTTTTTTTTTTTTTCTATCGAAAGTATTTTGTATCGTGAAATTTAAGTTTTGATTTTAACAAAAACAGAACTCTCTTCATATTTCAATATGATTATTTTTTCTTATTTCATTTACAACTGTTTTAAATACAGTTATTTTTCGTAAAAAAACAATTGAAAGTTAATGATTTTGGACGTACTCGCTTTCTTTGACATTTTACAATACTCATTTGAAAAAACAGTTAGTTTACGATTGGTTTTCAAATCACAATGCCTTCACTTATTTTGTAATAACATATTCCAACGACGTAAATATGTAGTCTTAAAAGTGACGTAGGTAATATAATACAACTACATTTTGTTAATAAATGAAACAGTAATAACCTTTTGCTGTATTCCCCGCAACTAACATATAAGAATCATCACCTTCGACCTTTAGAATGTCAAATATATCTGAAATTTCATAAACTTTAAACCATTTCTTTCCGTCTTTAAGATTCAATTCTATCTTACTGGCCTGTGTCACACAACTTTCGCTAACTAAATGCCAATCGCCCTCTTCACCGGCACATGTTTTGTTACATGGCTTATTTGTCTTGTTACAAATTTTCAAATCTTCAATGTCCATAATCAGCTTATCCGGCGCATCTGTAGCAAACTTCTTGAACGCATCCAGAATAGGTCTGTAGCCGGTGCATCTACAGATGTTGCTACCGAATGATTTTTCTATATCTAACATTGTTAGATTCTGTTTACTCTTCAATAAGCTAGAACAGAATGAAGATTATAATAATTAATGGCTTAACCTACCTAATGTTTGTACTTAATTTTTCGGCGACAAAAATGATAAAATCACTCTTTAATCATTACCAGCCTAATTGATTTACAATTCAATTAATTAATTAATTTTTAATTTCTTCATAGCACAGTGGTAACTTGGTTAACGGTTTCGGATGCGATATTCGCATGATCCGATTATAAGATGGGTAACCAAAAATTTACTATCTCGATCTCTTCCGTGAAAGGCGAGTTAATCCGATGTCTTGGCTGAGTGTGTAGTCGATAACATATACACGCTTATCCGAACTGACCTCGCATGGTGGATCATGATGACGTGATCCATTCTCCTTATTCAATTTCATCGATTGGGAAGGTCTATACCTAGCAGCATTATGATTCATAAACTGATGATGATGATAATACTCTAAGAGTTTGGCCTCAAAGGACATTGCTCAACGTCCATACATTGGTGGCCCCAGAGCCAAAAAAAATATAGGAAAATACTTATTTTACTGTGTGTCACTAACTAATTCTCATTAACTATGTATTTATTATACCGCGACCGAGTTTTAGAACTTATTATCACGCAAAATATAATTCATTTTGAGGTTATAATTTGTTTGGAAAACCACCAAGAGATGGCACTCTAAGTACATGATATGATATTGATGTCTATATTGTCGAAGCAAAAAAACTCAATTTTAAGAAAGTCGGTTTTTCGTTGTGATTTGTAAAAGTTTCTAAGTCAATCAATACACAAATAAATCATTCTAATAGTTAAATAATATACCTATTAATAAGCTTAAAATTAAAAAAAACCTATAGCTTTTTGATGGTTTACATCAAAAGATGGCGCCTAAAACACATAATTGACATGATGTTAATATGTTTACGAGAAATATAAATGTAATGTAATAGAAACAAAGTAGTTTTTAGGGTATGTCGTATGAATATCAATCTTTCTGAATAAACAAGAGTGAATTATCAACAGTTAATGAATTTAGTTTGTATAATATTCAGTTTTTATGTCCTTATGTTTTAGTTGGAAAATCACCAAGAGATGGCGCTTTTAGTAAATTTAAGTTTATTTTCGGTCAATTTAATTTTATGTATTTGACTTCGATGATTTAAAGGTTATCTAATAAAATATCTAATAATAAATGATCTTCTTGATCTGACGTGTAAATTACATCCATCTGACTCAATAGAATTTAAGTATATTGAATGTGAATATTTGCGAATATAAATGTTACTGTTAAAGTACTTTTAAATATTTATTTTGGATCACAGCTTGTTCGTGTCAAATAAATATTTGAATCCAATTTAATAAATAAATTAGTAATTATTATTGAAGTATTAATATTTAATGGTATTGGGGCCATTTTCGGCGATGTCCTTTTTCATTATCAAAAAGTCCGAGATCAAAAATTCCAGACACATTCGGAAAAAGATTACATTGTTTGTTTGCATTAAATAAAGTCCGATTCTTCTGGCTCAATTTAAAAAAAAATCATGTACGAAAGCTACATCATACGTTAATACCACAGGTAATAATAATTCACGAGAGCAAAGTCACGGAAAAACAGCTAGTAGAGTTATAAAACAACACTGTATCAAAAATATCGACGTTCATTGTAAAACTTCAGAAATACCTGTATAGTGCCATTACCCAGCCTGGTGTACAATAACCGCACTGGGTGCCATTTTCATTTGCTAGAGTCTTTTGTATCGGATGATATCCATCCCGTCTGTTGCCCACCTTTTCTATCGTTGTAATATCCCAATCTTGACACGATGTTATAGATACTAAACACTAAAAGGAAAATTTAAACATAAATCTTTATTATACTCACAGTTTTTTTTTAATTATAATAGTTATTTAAGATACGAGTGCGAAAACGAATGGTTTTCATTGGCACGAATTCGAAAAACCTTTTACGCTCAAGTTTCTTACAACATTTTTCAATGCTTTTTGCGAGGAAATAAAACAAATATATAGGTTAATAAAACTAAGTATGTATTAAAGGTAAAAATTATTTGTTTAAATTAAACGTGATTTTTTAACATGTTTTCGTGTCATACATTTTTATTTGAAAATATTCGTTCTAGGCTCCTTGAAATACTTTTGCCTCTAAAGTTTGATATATTTTCATCAATTTCTTTGGTGCTCGGCCAAAAAAAAAATACTTTTAAGCTCGTGTGCAGTAAAGAATTTCACTACATTTTTATTTAACACGTGTTTAAAGACTCACTTTCGGTGTTTACAATGGATTAAAAAAATAGCGCTTTATGAGCAACTGCATTGAAAAAAAGTTTTTTTTAACTTTTGTCTCCATTTCATTCACAAATGATGAGGTTATCCTCGAAACTTTGTAGAAGACTTCGGCTGAACAAAAAATGAATGGAAAAATCCTATTTCGGAACGGAAAAATCTATTTCATGAAATCGAAGGTATTTCAACAATTAAATATTTTCTAAAACAAATAGAGCTGGTCTTGGCGTTCCCGATTAGTACCTACTGGAACATTATTTACCGAGTTGACTGCTCTTGGAGTCTCCCCTGGGCCGGTGGCAGCAGTGACAATGCAAGCTCCGCAACCACCCTCACGACACATAAATTTTGTTCCACGCAACCCCGCTTGCTTGCGTAGATAATCGAGCAGCATCTGGTCAGAACTCACCTCTCCTCCGACTTTTCAAAAATCATATATGAACATAAAATATATATTAGACTTTATTTATTTATATATATACTAGCATTTACCCGTGACTTCATCCGCGTGGTATAATTAATTTGCTTGGATGTTTCCTAAGATTAGAGGTTTCCTATTTAAGCTATACCTTCTTCTAGTGAAAACGAATGTTAGGTACTTATTGATCTGTCAATGTAAACCTCAAACTACTGGATGGAACGAACCGAAATTCAGCACATAAGTTATTATTATCAAGTGGAAATTTGCTAGGAAATGATTTTAGAAACCCAAGAGGGTTATATGAATGTATTGAAGTTTAAAAAAGCGTGAGTTGTCCCAATAAAAAGTAATCTACGTCCTATTTCAAGTCAACTGGGCTTAGTGGTATAGGGGTGAGGGCGTAACAGACTTACTTTTACATATATAATATATCAGACAGTTATCCAATTAAATACACTAAAATATAAACCACAATTAGCATTGATCACAATTCACGACTTTAATACTCACAGTCATCTTTTTTTCCGATATTAATTGAAAAGATTTCGTGTGAACTAAAAAAATATAGAAATGATTTTATAATATATATGTTGGTGCCAACTGACTAAAACATCCTTCCAATTAGATGACTAGCCTTATAATTGAATAGCGCCATTCATTTATACAGCTAAAGCTAAACGTTGATTAACCGAGTAACCATTACATCGTCTTTCTATAATGCGGCTGTAGAAATCTTAGGGAACTGGTTAACTGTCAAGGATCGTGATACGAAACACAATTTATTTTAAAATATTCGTGGTATTAGAATAAAGTTTACCTTTATTTTCAACTTCGAGATGCTTCAAACAAAAAGCTCTATTTATTTATTTAAAGTACAGGAACTGCAGCTATGTATGTACTTTTTGGAAACATGGGAATAATTGTACAGGGCTTAATAATTGTACTCTATAATCAATAATTATTTCACGCAACAATGTTTAAAAAAATAAAAGTTAAAATAGTTGAAAATACAAAATACGGAATATTAATTAGGACACTCGTGGGCTTCAAGCCATAGCCTTACTTATCAGGAGACATGAAAATAAAATAAAATAATATATGTATGTTTGTCGGTTAAATGTCAAAAAGTGTTTGAATTGATTTTTTTTTTAATAAATAATAATATTTAAAAAAAATATGGATTTGTAAACTGATAAGATTAGAAAAGATTGGCGTTATAAAAACAACTAATTTTTACGTACACTGTAATTTGAAGCCGGCGACATGTACACTGACTAAAGTCTAATATGTTTCAGTTCAAATTTTTTAGGCATTTTTTAATTAAAAATATTCTTTAGATTTATTAATCACTGACTAAAAGATGTAGATAATATTCATAAAAGCTAAATGCTATATTAAGTAAATTAGGTTTAAATTCGTTCAAAAATGTCAATATTTTTTTTTTATCAAAAATAATAAAATGAAATAAAGCATATTTAAACAATCAGTCCTATTGAATACAGCCTGTTTTTTTAAGATCCAATTAAAAGGAACACTGAAATTTTATTTTTTTATTTTAAAATAAATATTTTCTTACCTGAATGCTTCTCGCCATTAATTGTAAACTTAATACGCTGCATGTCTGTAACATATGGTATTCATTATACGAATGACTTGGTTAGTACCTATCAATAAATATTCTAAACTCGAAACCCGGTTACAAGTAAATTGTAAAAAGGTATGTTTCATCAAGATAAATATCAATATAGCATTGTTGTTAAAATTTACCTAAAATAATAATTAACACGCATTTTAACATATTTAGTTGCCAAGTGAGTCGCTCGCCGCTTTTGGGATTTAACATCTGAGGTCCTAAATTGGATTGCCGGTCGGGTCAATATAGAAAATAATCTTTTCTATATTAACTCTGTTCGTTTGTCTCACTAAAATTCGAGAAGGCTTGACCGATTTAACTGATTTTAGGTTTGAAATGTTTTTCATAGTCCAGCCCTGCGTTTCTGTTAAAATCCAAACCACAAAAAATACAAACAAAATTGAATGAATATATGTACATGTCTGAGATATTCTATTCCTATGTCATTTCGAAACTCACTTCACACGTTATTACCAGTTGAGTAGATGCTGCCTTTTGAAGTGAATTCAGATACCTGAGTGAATTTGAATTCGGGTTTAGATTTTTATAGAATCGCAGTGCAGGAAAGGAAAGAAATCAGCCTTACTATACAGTCCACCGAGAACCGTCCATGGCCGCAACGCGCGCGTTAACATACCACTTTAATATTTGTGTATTGTAAAACTATGATTATAAAACGTGCCTATTACTCTTGTTTAAAACCCCGAGACCAACACAAACCCCTTACACCAGTTACTTATCTAAATCTTATAAATCATTCGAACCTACTGACAAATGTTTTTTTTTCGGTACAGCGGCTCTAAGTAACTACTGTCAGTCAAATCGATAAAATGGTTTGTTTAACTAATGAGCTTCTTATCGCAGAATAACGTTAACTTGTTATTCAGGTTCGATATTGCTGATGCTAATACTACTACGATTTTATTTAAATTACAGAAATTTATTGTTGGCAATTTTGAAATCGAATTCTAACAAAAATAAAGAAATTAAAGAAAAATATTGTAAAATTTGAATGTGTGGCCCCGACTGTGAATCGTTCTGTTCTGTATTACTTAACAGAATTCTAAACTACTGGGCTTGTTTCTTTCTTTTTAGTTTTTATTTAAGTTAATTTTTTCGTGTATTTTTTAAAATTCGTTTTTGCGCAGTCGGGTTTTTGTTTTTCTTTAAATTATTTCTTTTTATTTTATACTTTTTAGTTACGATTCGTCGACTTCGTTATAAGATAGTAAATTTCGCAATCAAGTTATTTCACTGAGGGAGTTATCGTGGGGATTATTAAGTAACTTGCGGTGGTCTAAACTACTAGTGAGTAGTCCCTCTACAGACCTAACTCGGCTCAAAGCTACATATGCTTTATTTTTTACTAAAACTATTTGTTCCTCACGCTTTTTCACTGTTTTTATTTTGTTTGTATTTCGTTTATACTTCAAATAAAAACTTAAATCAATAAGTAAGATGAAGAACACTCCTGACTAATACACCTTTCAAACAAAAAACAAAAACAAAATCAAAATTGGTTCATCCGTTCGGGAGCTATGGTGCCACAGACACACAGACACGTCAAACTTATACACCCCGTCGTTTTTGCGTTTTTAAAATTAGCGAGAATGTTTTGTTAAACAACTTTAAATCGTTATATATCCTAAACTATTATTCAGAATGGAAAATAATTACAGGAACCTAAAGATGATTTTAAAATACCTATTCAACGACACCCCACTTGACATAGTTCATCGATTTATATTTTTAAATTTTGACAATATGGCGACTGGTTGTCGCTTTGGTGAATATACTGTCAT